TAGAAACACTGATAGGCAATTTCCAGTTTTCGCAGTCAATTCCTTATAGCGCCACTCTTTTGTCTGCAGCAAAGATACATTTTGGTTCGAGTGTCGTCCAATATACCTTTAAAGACCGTACCAAAAACTACCTCTACTATAGGCATTTGTAACAGCCACCTCAAATTATCACAATCTTCATTTCTGAAGCCTTTAATCTAGAGGCAATAAGAATTTCTTAGTGTTTTCGAATTGAAATAATTCTCGACTCAATCTTTCACAAAGAAATGTCTCTGTAGCGTTTTCTCACACCGCAATTTTCAGACTGAAACAGACTTAATCATTTTCCTTCCAGCTTTCTTGAGGTCATATGATTATTCAGAGGGTGGAATAAAATGGAGGTGAAGAATTTACAAGTGAAAATATCTGTTCTGTTGCATATAAAACTGCACACGTCTGTAAAATCTTCAGACATCTTACTCATGCATAGGAACTCTAATGAATTAATTTTTTGTATTATTAGTGTTCTGTCTGACGACAGGTCCATATGAACAGGATCTTTCCATCCTTTTCTCGGACTGGGACTGGGACCTGTTCATATACGTTCTTGGCAGATGATCCAGAAGTGGTTTGCCATTGCCTTCTTCTGTGTGTGAATGGAGTAATTGTTGGGATGCCACGGAGAAACCGGGGAAGCCCCCGGAGGAAAACTCCGTGCTGCCTAGACCACGGCCTTGCCCAACACAAGTTATAAATTCGGGCACCGCCGGGAATCGAACCCGAGACCCCCAGGATTACAAGGCCAGCGTTCTAACCGCTAGACCACCGTGGCGGTGCAATGAATTAATACTCGGATATAATTTTGTCAGGTCATTAGCAGAACATACTTGGCACATTTTTAAAAATCCCTGTAAAGTATCACATTCTGGTAAGTAATAAAAAGACTATTAATCAAATAACTCGCTCGTAGATAAGACAACTAATAGAAAAGAGTCAACTTACGTCATACTTAGACGACCTAAGGCCAACAACACGCAACTGGAATTTGAAACACGCTTTCTTAAAGTAAATTCGTGATGGTTTTAAAAGTTGTGTGACATGTGACGCGATGGGGTTCGATTACGTGCAGAGTTATTGGAACCTTTCCATTCACCTCTTGTTCAAACGGACTGTGAACTTCCATCTTCCTAGACAATGCACACAGAACGATTTATATTCGGAGATAAGAGGGGTGGAGCGCGAAGTTAAACACTCTTATGTATCTACAGACTTCATTTAAAATATAATGGATCTTCTGAACAATCGAAGTTTCTCTACCACTTTCGTTTAACACCAAATTTAGTAGCAATGACATTGCTCCATGGTGAGGGTGCCTACTCGAATTACACTGAGAGAATGGACATCAAACACGACTTCTTTGTTCTTATTTGCGCCAGAATAACATTAATCGATTGCTGGGAAAGTTTTATTATATGGTCCAGTAAAATAAATTACATCAGACGAGTCTTTTCAACCACGGTAATGTAAAAGAAACAGATCAGAGTTCTGGCAAACACAACAGCTAAAAATTGTGGACATTAGACGTCTTTGCACTAAATTATTAATGCACTAAAGTAGCTAATTATAAAGCTTCTTAAAATTATAATTAGAAAGCCCGAAACTACTAAAAGAAAGTTCCAATCATAGATCTTACTATATGTCATGTTATTCCATTTCATCACCCAAAATTGTATATTATTCTCCAGTCCACACCTAGGTCTTGAAAGAAGATTTCTTACATAAAATTCCATCATTAGTCTTACTGTAAGTTCCCTAAGCCCCAAAAGTCTGTACGCCAATTATCAATACGGTCATGGGCAGAACTGTGCACTTCTGTACTCAAAGAAAGTTTAGTGGCCTAACTCCTCCTCTCCCCCCAAATCTTAGAGTTTGTATAACCAAGAATCAAATACCTTGGGACAGAATTTATGTTTTTGAAATCTGTAACAAGCAAAAAGAGTAGATCTTTCGCTCCCTTCCCAGATCGTAGTCTAATTCACGTTGACAGCATCGAAGCGTAGCCATTTCACCTATGTGCTACATGATGAGAGCCAGCTGCTCGCCTGCCCAACACCCTTCTAGTACCTTCTCTGCTAACGAAAAGGAGAGAAAAACCAGCTGGGTAACATTTTTCCTTGGTGCATACTTTTTGCCAATCTACTAGCTTAACACCAGATTCCTCGATGTTTGAGAAGCCAAGTAAACAGACTCTCCATCCTTTATCGTGTGGTCCACGTGGTGGTGGTAGTTACTCTTCTGTACTACCTGTTCCAAAAACATTAAATTAGCAATGGAACATACTTTGTTGTTAAAATGCATTTATACCCTGTACATTTATCACTTCTCTTTAAACACGACTACTTACACAAAAACTAACAGTATACCAATGTGTTAAAACAACAGTACATGAAACGTGTTGGTCGGAATGATTCAAATCAATGTACGTGGAACGGTTAGTACGGTAGACCCTCCGTAATCAACGAGAACCTTCACAGCTCACCCCCTGATATTTATAAATATTGAAAGACAGTTACGTCCCAAAAAGAATATCAACATTCAGACTAACAACTAAGCTTATAGCTTACTTTAGCTCCGTACCTCCCCAAAGCGACCAATACAAAGACATATTCTTTAGTATAACGCTCTGTATTTAAAACAATGAATGTAATGTGTACGTGTGTGTTCCGGTAACGACCGTCTCAAGAATCCTCTCACCTACCGGCCCTGTTGCGTTGTTTACTATGCAATTAAAACTTCAACGAGTCACTTATACGTAGATACAGAGCTGCGTTTCTAATACACCACTCATTTTAAGCTACTTTATCGGCTATTGGACCATTTTCCGTTTGAATACCTTTGCGCATAGTCTAAAACGACTGCTAGTATTTATATTCCAATTAAAATGTCGGTTTATTTTTATTTTTCTTGACTACTTAGTTAAGAAAATTCGCTTCCATTGTTTATAGTGATAAATTTTTATAACTAGATTTGTTGTAGAGTGCAAAATCCGAAGGTCCAACACATTTTTAAACTGCAGTCCCTAAAATTTTCGTCACATAAAAATGAATGGATTAGCGCCAGTGTGACGTTTTTACTACAGAACGTAAACAGTTTAACAAATAATCTTAAAGGTTGCTGTCTCGTCGCTCAGTAGGAGAATTCGTATTCAAGTGTGTTTCAATTATACTTGTTAATGATACTTTATTCCAGCGTGCGATGATTAACCTACATTGCGCAACCAACCGTCTTTATCTTGTCACTCGTCAAAGCGAAATTATAAACAAAAATCTCTTGAAAGTGATGTTGCTAAATCTAATCATGTGTAAACACTTATGTACTGTGGCGTATAAACACGTTCATGCATAACCCAGTCCTCAGTTATAGCTATACAAAATGTCTTTTCCTGCTAACCTGTAGTGTGTTTGGATATTTGGAAAATATGATTATTCAGCACGGCTGCTTCTAGGTTGTTGCGCCGTTTAGTCAACCAGGCTACATGGCGCAACAACCCGTAAGACAACCATATTCATACAAGCCGCCGTGAAAACCTGAAATTTTGCCATAATTATTCAAACAGGTCAGTTTCTACATGTGTCATGTTCTGTAAGCTGTTACATACATCAAATTATCTCCATTTTCATAATCTTTAACCAGACCCTATGCCGGTGGCTTATACAGTGTTCAGAAAGGAAGGACCCTTCAGGGAAATATTACCTAGAAGACCCAGGCTTAGACACTAGATTAATTTGGCTGATGACAGAAGCCAATGGCAAGCTCTTCTAAGCATGATAATTCAATAAAAGTCGCGGTATTTCTTGACTATCTGAGCGACTGTTTGCTTCATCAGTAAGGACTGTGTTCTGCAGAGTTAGAAACTTAGAGAATCAAGTTTAGGAAGGACTCAAAAGGTATTAACTCCATGAAAAATAGCTTCCTCCTTCAGTTTCGAAGTTCACATACAAATATCTCTTCTTAACATCTGCTGTTTTATTTTAAACCCAGAGGTTCCATAAAACGTTCATTAGCGTTGCCACAAGAAACTCTCCAGAGTCAGAAGCTTCCAGTCCATATTTTCAAATTTTGTTCCTTTAACGGTCAATTTAAAAAGGCCTGGTCCTCCCATCTTCGTCTGTGTGTCTTGAATGTTCGTTCCCTTAAGGTTTACCGACAGCAGTTTTGTATGTAATTCTTATATGACATAATCAATGAATGTTCACCTTTGGTGTGAATAATCAGAGGTATGTAAAAAATATTTCTTATTCATACCGGTATTTATTGTTTTTATATATGCATACCACATTCAAGGACAAGGTTAGAATGGTATACCCTTCAGAGTGCTAAGATTTCCAAAAGTGTTTTTCACGCCACTTCATAATATCAAATAGTTCACATTGTCACCGATGGATGACTAGGCGGATAGTTCATATTAGCCATTGATAGATGGCAACACAATGGGTGGGGACGTCATCACGGAGAGTCAACTTCCCACTTCACAAGTCATGTTGGTTAGCGATTACAGGAAATTGAAAAGTACGAGTTTGGAGCAGCCACCAGTGGCAAACATTTCGTACCAAGTTTAATGAAAAACCGATTGCCCATCCAGAGCTATACGGGCATGCACTGACACTTATGGGCGATAACAATATTTGGCGAAGACGACATTGCAGAGGATTAACATGGCAAAGAATCATAGTCCCAAATTACAAGTTTGAGCATCCGTGACGCTGGTACGTATTATTAATTAACTAACTACCTGGCTTGGGGAACGATAAAGGTTCATCACCGAATTAACAAAAGCCATCCACCGGACCCTGTATTGGGTTAACAGAATCCATTCTCCTTCAACTCCTACCTCCCATAGATCCCGCCCGAGATTATAATCCCATCTACGTCTAGGTCTCCCCAGCGGTCTCTTCCCCTCAGACTTCCGACAAATACCCGCTACACACGTCTTGTCCCATCCATGCGCGCTACACCTCATTCTTCTCGACTTAATCACCCTGACAATACTGAGGGAGGAATATCAATTTTTAAGCTCTTCATTATGCAATTTTCTCCATGCCCCATCGTCTTCTCTCCTAGGCCCAAATATCCTCCTCAACACCCTATTCTCAAACACCTGCAATCTGCGTTCCTCCCTCTGAGTGAGAGACCATGTTTCGCACCCATACAAAACAATAGGCAGAATTATTGTTTTGTATATTATAATATTCAGGTTATTAGAAATCAGACGGGAAAACAAAATATTTTGAACTGAAAAGTAGCAAGCATTTCCGGAATTTAGTCTCATCCTAATTTCCTCGTAAATATCAGATTTGTTATTGTTGTTTCAAAATATTTGAACTTTGTCACACACTCAAAGGATTTATTAGCCATCCTAATATGATTTTGTACTCCCGTCTTATTTCTAGGCCCACCTCCCTACTAGCCTCTAGTAAAACTTCTGCGTTCCTCTTTATTGTATTCATATCGTCCCCCAATAAATTAACATCATCAGCATATGCCAAAAGCTGATGTGTCCCATTCAATTGCAAACCCTCCTGCCTATCTCGGACTTTCCTGATAGTGTATTATAACTCAAAGTTAAAGAGCAAGGGAACGTATTACTGATTACAGAAAATAAAAAAATACGAGTTTGAAGTAGTGCCCATTGGCACACTACCCATACCAAATTTCATGAAAATTCATTGAGATGCAAAATTTTGTTGTATGGCGGAACAAATAATTTGTGTGACCTTGACAGACACGATCCCTTCGGCTCAGTGCTGCGATGGACAGGTACGGTCTTTCGTAACAAACCCGCAAAGTGGCATGGTTGACAAAGAACGAAGTCTCAGCATGTTAATTTATAATGTAAAGTCATACAAAGTGTCGTTCATTTATAATTGAATGCCAAGCCATTTTCTATTTGTATCCCTATTTAAAGCAAAATTCTTTTTTCGGTTAAAATAAATTTATGTAATGAATGAAAATTTTACAGGGCTTATTTCTTGTTTCCTTTTGCAATACATTTCATCGCCGATAAAAAAATTGACATGAAGTTTCACTCATACTAAGATTCAGTAATACAGGAAACCACACGCAATTGGGTGACATCTAGTCTGTTATATGTGACATGTATTGCCACTCCTTGGTTCGGATATTGCGTTGTTTTGCACTTAAGGAGTTATCGCTCAGCAGGATGGTCTACAGTAGATAAAAACATATCCGGTCTAGAAGTAAGGCTAACCGATTACCAATCTCTAAAATATCAACGTACGACTGACAAACCTTTCCGAAGGTCTTTTTATTCAACTCTGTTTAATGTGAAATATGCATACTTATGCAAAATATACACAGACTAGTTATCCTAAAGGATTTTATGTGTTAAATTATTTCAGGTGTTTCAGCACATTGCAGTAATGTTTATGGAGAGCATGCTCAATGTTAGAGTGAAGATGAGTTGGTAATAAGATGGAGGAGACATTAACAATTAGGCCCAAACTATGTTTTAGTGCCCGGTTAAATTTTAAGAGACTAAATCCATTTTTGGAAAATCATTAATCAGAACAATCCGTTCCTGGATTCATTCTGAGGACAGACATTTTGTCCTACAGATCACTCACTCGGCCTGAAATGTGTGTTGTTTGAACTTTGAACTATTTTAAATACCCTTTGTCATACCAAATGACCTTCACTTAATTTAATACATCAATGTATAACTCTGCTTTGCAGAACAGAATCTTGTTTATCAAGACAAGGCCGAAAGAGACACATTGAAAGACGGAGTACGAACTAGTCAAGACGTCAAGTCAGATCTTAGGAGCAGGATCGTCACTTTACCCACGCTGTTGATTAGAGCAATTGACAGCCGCCAAGCAGCAGTCGGCCGTAAGGATTAACTATGTGTACGTATAATCACGGCATCAAACAGGGTTAGAGTAAACACTACATGCGACGTGCATATTCTGTGTAATTCATTCACAGGACCACCAGTTTACATGCCTGAATCTCTAGTACTTTGTGACTATCGAATAAAAAACCGAGCATTTATAATATTGCACGTCCGCCTACCATTGACATAAACAAGTCCCTGCGATTAACTTGTCCATCTGAAGCAGTAAGAGATTTTGAATCGCTGTCACATGTGCACTCAGCTGTCAGTAATAGTAACATATAAAACTGTTTTTAACTAGATCAGCATTGGCAGTTGTGCAGTTACATCCCATCCTGCCAGCCCCAAACTTTTTATTGGTGAGACCACAAAGCAGTAATACAATTTATAGACAACAATTTGATAATCACGATAAATTAAATTAAACAGATTTTGATGTTAAAAATAATTGTGTCATGTAACATACAAAATTGATCAAATGCCAAATATCTTACTTCTTAGAAAGAGACGTTGAGCTTTACGCATCACCAAATATTTATACGAGGGCAGGCAAGACTGGCAAAGTGAAACTTTTGTTGTCGATAATGCGATGGTATGTCCTACAGCCTTTCGAATTGATGACTCAGTCATTGTAGGCCTATAGCCGAACCTATAACCAACATATTAAATCAAAATTCTCCGCTTTTATGGAATCCGAAGATTAATTATCACGTCCACAAAAGTCTGCCGGTGGACTCCAGTCTGAGCCAATCAATCTATGTTCACATCCAGTTTTCTATAACGTTCGTTTTAATAGTATCCTCCGGTATAAACACACGTAGGTCTCCCAACTGGTCTCTTCCCTCTGGATTTTCTGACTAAAATCTAGTCTGAAATTTACATCTTACACAAATGTTCAACATTACCAGTCCATCTCACCCTCCCTGATTGCCACTTTCTCTGTCTTAGGTCTAAATATTCTCTTAGCACCTCATTGTGGTACAAATTTCACATTAATATAAGACAACAAGTAAAATTATAGTTCTGTGTAAGCCAAAGTATTAAAAAACAAGAAATTATTTATCTGTTTTTTTCTAGTAGGGAGAGCATCTAGCCCATAGAAGAGGACATGGTTGAGAGTGATTTGGAAAGCGTTAAGGAAATGACTTCCATGTTTTTTGTGGAATGATGGACAGAATGACTATGGTTTTATTTCATGTAGATCTTCACAAATTCAGGTAATGAGAACTACGTTTTATTATAAACATCCCAATATTAATAAGACGCCTGTTACTGACTTAAACTGTGTTCTTTCAACATCAAAATTTTCCTTTGTAATGATATTCTGACAAAACAAAACTTCTTTCATGTAACTCAAAAACTGTTCAGGAGAGGGTTTGGACCATGAAAGTGGTTTGTAAATACCGTTAGGGGCGTAACAAATCTCACAACGGCGAGTATAAATACGGCTTTCTTCAAGTTGTTGCGGAAGCAACAACATCTGAAACGTCGATAAACTTCTAGCAGTAGAAGAAGTGCAATAACCCAGTGGTATTCAACCTGGGGTACGCGAAGACATCTTAGGGGGTACGTGAAATTTAAAAAAATATATATTATTTTATGATAAACACTGAATAATCAGTAATGTAATTTATTTAATTTATTTTAGATGTAGATTATATACTA